TAGGGTAGAACACGCTTCCCTAAAACAACATTTACAAGGTGAACAATACAGACGTTCAAACAAAATCGCACACGTTGCAGGAGTCGTTTTCAAATTGTAAATGCGAATCGCACCAAAAAACATTGTAAACAACACAATCACACCATCAAGACACTGCCGGCGCAGTGCTTTCATTCCTTGTCTATTCGCCATTGGCTGGCAGGTCTGGACTCTTGGTTTAGCCGGTTCGTTTGGCCACTTGTCGTGGCCTTGTGCCACTGCGTGAGGAGACGACGGACGTCCACTACTGCGGCTGGTCGCCCGTATTATTGCCCACAACCCAGGCAGACTGCAGAGTATGGATGGAGAACTATGAGGAGCTGCGGAAGCAACGTGTGGAAAGCTTTCCGCAGTGCCACGAAGCAGTCCAGGTTTGAACGTGTAGGATCTGGCTAATTTGGGAAGCCTTGAAGAAAGGGCCTCCCTGAATTTACCAGTGCATTGCATGAGGGAAGTAATGTATGGCCCGATTTAGGACAAGTGATTCGGCTGCAACAAAGTTTGATTCCAGGATGTCGGGGTTTGCTTGGACTGCCTGGACTTCGCCACTTGCGTGGAGACGTGTCGCTTGGATTAGTTTGTTGTCCTGTTCGTGCTCCGGCTTCTTTGCGAAAGCCAGCGGCATGACGCATTTTAGGAGCAAAAGGCCTGGTGGCTCTTGCCTGTTCCTGGATCGGGCGGCGGTGCTAGGGAACATGTGGGGAAGTTTGTCCTTTGAGCCGTTGGTTTCATTTGCTTTTGGTTTGCAAGTTTTGGTTTCATTTTTTGGTCGCGCACATGCCCTGGGCAAGTAAGGCAACTCCTGCGCTGCATGCACGGGAGTAATGGTGCGGGACGTGGGGAGCAATGTCCACTGCACGCTGCTGGGGACGACAGATGATTCCTCACAGCCGAGCCCCAGCTGTTCAGTGGTGTTCTTTTCTTTCCAGCTCCAAATTCTCCCCGAAGATCACGCCTCCATGGAGAAAACACAACAAAACAGGTTGCCACATCCAAGGCCCATTGCGAGCCCCACGAATGATGTCCCCGCTCAGAAACTGAGTCACTGAGGTTGTTTCAGAGCAGCTTTGTCCCCAAGTCTTCGGGCGGCGATTACGTGGGGGGCCAGTACATGAACACCCGGCACCCCGGGTGCGCTGTGCCGACTCTGGAGATCCAGAGCCTGCGCTTTTATACCGACCCCACATGTGGCCCAGCAGCAGCGCCCCCTTTTCCTTGTGTTTGGGACGTATCTCCGACAAACATATCCCCAAAACAAACGGGCGACTGTTTTTTCTTTCTCCGCGGTGGGGGGGGGGAGCTTTTTCTTCGGAGCCGCGCGCAAAGGATCCCTTTTCAAAGCTCGCGGAACCGTTTCTGCTCGCGGGTGCGATGCCAACGCTTAGCGAAGGCCTTCGGTTCGCCGGGTGGTTTGGGTTGTTGGTTTGTTGGTTGGCTGGTTGGCTTGCTTGTTTTTGTTTGTTGGTTTGTTGGTTGGCTGGTTGGCTTGCTTGTTTTTGTTTGTCGGTTTGTTGGTTGGCTGGTTGGCTTGCTTGTGTTTGTTTGTTGGTTTGTTGGTTTGTTTGTTGGTTTGTTGGTTGGCTGGTTGGCTTGCTTGTTTTTGTTTGTCGGTTTGTTGGTTGGCTGGTTGGCTTGCTTGTTTTTGTTTGTTCGGTTTGTTGGTTGGCTGGTTGGCTTGCTTGTGTTTGTTTGTTGGTTTGTTGGTTGGCTGGTTGGCTTGCTTGTTTTTTTTGTTGGTTTGTTGGTTGGCTGGTTGGCTTGCTTGTGTTTGTTTGTTGGTTTGTTGGTTGGCTGGTTGGCTTGCTTGTTTTTGTTTGTCGGTTTGTTGGTTGGCTGGTTGGCTTGCTTGTTTTTGTTTGTCGGTTTGTTGGTTGGCTGGTTGGCCTGCTTGTGTTTGTTTGTTGGTTTGTTGGTTGGCTGGTTGGCTTGCTCGTTTTTGTTTGTCGGTTTGTTGGTTGGCTGGTTGGCTTGCTTGTTTTTGTTTGTCGGTTTGTTGGTTGGCTGGTTGGCTTGCTTGTGTTTGTTTGTTGGTTTGTTGGTTGGCTGGTTGGCTTGCTTGTTTTTGTTTGTTGGTTTGGTTGGTTGCTTGCTTGTGTTTGTTTGTTGGTGGTTGTGCTGGTTGTTGCTGGTTTGGCTTGCTTGGTTGGTTGGTTGGTTGTTGCTTGTGTTTGTTTGTTGGTTTGTTGGTTGGCTTGGTTGGCTTGCTTGTTTTTGTTTGTTGGTTTGTTGGTTGGCTGGTTGGCTTGCTTGTTTTTGTTTGTTGGTTTGTTGGTTGGCTGGTTGGCTTGCTTGTTTTTGTTTGTTGGTTTGTTGGTTGGCTGGTTGGCTTGCTTGTGTTTGTTTGTTGGTTTGTTGGTTGGCTGGTTGGCTTGCTTGTTTTTGTTTGTTGGTTTGTTGGTTGGCTGGTTGGCTTGCTTGTTTTTGTTTGTTGGTTTGTTGGTTGGCTGGTTGGCTTGCTTGTTTTTGTTTGTTGGTTTGTTGGTTGGCTGGTTGGCTTGCTTGTTTTTGTTTGTTGGTTTGTTGGTTGGCTGGTTGGCTTGCTTGTGTTTGTTTGTTGGTTTGTTGGTTGGCTGGTTGGCTTGCTTGTTTTGTTTGTCGGTTTGTTGGTTGGCTGGTTGGCTTGCTTGTTTTTGTTTGTCGGTTTGTTGGTTGGCTGGTTGGCTTGCTTGTGTTTGTTTGTTGGTTTGTTGGTTGGCTGGTTGGCTTGCTTGTTTTTGTTTGTTGGTTTGTTGGTTGGCTGGTTGGCTTGCTTGTTTTTGTTTGTTGGTTTGTTGGTTGGCTGGTTGGCTTGCTTGTTTTTGTTTGTTGGTTGGTTGGTTGGCTGGTTGGCTTGCTTGTTTCTGTTTGTTGGTTTGTTGGCTGGCTGGTTGGCTTGCTTGTTTTTGTTTGTTGGTTTGTTGGTTGGCTGGTTGGCTTGCTTGTTTTTGTTTGTTGGTTTGTTGGTTGGCTGGTTGGCTTGCTTGTTTTTGTTTGTTGGTTTGTTGGTTGGCTGGTTGGCTTGCTTGTTTTTGTTTGTTGGTTTGTTGGTTGGCTGGTTGGCTTGCTTGTTTTTGTTTGTTGGTTTGTTGGTTGGCTGGTTGGCTTGCTTGTTTTTGTTTGTTGGTTTGTTGGTTGGCTGGTTGGCTTGCTTGTTTTTGTTTGTTGGTTTGTTGGTTGGCTGGTTGGCTTGCTTGTTTTTGTTTGTTGGTTTGTTGGTTGGCTGGTTGGCTTGCTTGTTTTTGTTTGTTGGTTTGTTGGTTGGCTGGTTGGCTGTTTGGGGATAAGTGTGACGACTTTCCGTCTTTCTGCCGCCTTGTTTGCGTTTGGGGTAATCTTCAGGCTGCTTGAGGGCAGGGTTCTGGCTGGATAAGAGTTTTATCAGAGCGGGGCATGGGTTGCTATTGTCGCACAAATTGGGGGGATGATTTGCTGATTTTTATTTCTTTAGGGGCTTAGAGCGTGTTAAGCCTTTCATTTTGTAAGCTGGTGGCTAGTTTTGCAGTTGTCGGGTTTGCTTTAGGGTCATTGTTAGGTTGGCTTATTCGGATGGTTCCCTGGTTTTGTTTTGGATCGCTGCGCCAGACCAGGCCAGCCGAACAGTAACTTAAGAATATCCCAGAGCAAGCAAGCCCGACAACTGCAAAGCCCGAAGAAGAAATTGCCTCAATCGAGCCTATTCCCACAAGAAGTCACGTTAAATCCGACCCCGACAAATCCCAAGACGCAACGCTAACGCTAACCTCGGCGAGGCAAAGCCCAACATTAGAGAACACTTTGCAAGTCATCGCGTGCACTTCCTACACAAGCTCAGCCTAAACAAACGCCATACGCGAACCAATCCTAAGCCAAGATTGCGCCACAGCCCCAGAGGAAACCAATTCGCCGCGACCCTGGGTGCGTAGAGGAAAGAAGGCAGCTTACCTTTGCCGCGGTTCACCAGGTATTGCGGCAAGAATGCGTTTTCTGACAGTGTTCATCATTTTCCACAGTGAGAAAGCCACCCCTAGGTCAGGTCTAAGCTGTGCCAGTGTGAGGCCGAAAAACGACAGCTGATTTCTTAGATTCAACGAACGAGGCAACGCGGGATTTTTCGCATGGAAATCCAGTGGGCTTTTGAGGTAGTGATTCGTCTGCTTATGGAAATCGACGGATCTATCCGGACTCCGTACGCGACTCCGGCTTCAACATCCTCGGAAGCCTGCCATGGGCTCATTCAATCGGCAGGCGGGGGGGCTGAAGGGGGGGTGCCAAGAATTGCTCGCAGTCACGAGCTGGAGCTGGTTTGCCTCGGGACCTTGGCTTGTCTCCCCACATGTCTCCCCACTTGCGGCCCCACCTGTCTCCCAGCTTGTGCTGGCTAACTCGGACCGTGCGGCTTGTGTACGCACTAGTCTCCCCACTTGTCTCCCGGCTTGGTGACTCGGACTTTGTCGCGGCTTGGTTGCCCCCGTGTTTGTCCTTGCTGACTCTCGGACCTTGTCACGGCCTGTCTTGCTCGGTCTCCCCACTTGTCTCCCTCGGCTTGTCACGGCTTGTCCCCTAAATGTCTCCTTGCTTGCGCTCGTTCACTCGGCTTCATCACGGCTTGTCTTTTCACTTGTCTCCCCGCTTGTGTCCCAGCTTGCTTGAAGGGGGTGGTGGCTGAGTGAGGGGCTTGCCTTGACAGGGTCTCTTTGGATGTGACCATCCCGGCTGGATGGCCGGTGATGTGCGTGCTGATCCAAACCAACGGCTTCCTGGAGGCACGGTTGAGGCAAAATGGGCGTCAAGTTTGTGATCTTTGTTCAGTTGACTCGCGAGAATTTTGTGAATTTCTCATGGCCACTGTTCACCCTTGCTCGCAACTGCAATAGGGGGGCGCTGGGGGGGGGGGTGACATAACTGCAATGCAAGAGATGGCACATGCCCCGAGGGATGGACCTTGTCTGGACCCGGCAACCCCACGCTCTCCGGCGGCGCGATACTTACCTACTCCCCCCGCTTCCTGCCGGTCTTCTACCCGCTCAGGAGCAAGGCAAAGCGGAGAATTCTGGGACCAGCTCATATGTTAGGCAAATAACCTCAGTTGAGTCCCGCAAGCCGCAAGGGCTGTATGCAGAGTAAGTCCTTGGTCTCAGGGTAATGCTCAGCGGCTTTCCGCACGCTGCGCAACAAGACAAGCTCACCCATGAAGGTTCCTGGTTTCCACATGGTTCAGGGGGCTTGCAACATTGGTTTAAACCAGGTCGCCTGAAGAAGGAAACCAACAGCAGGTTGTTGAAGCGGAGAGTGGTGGTTTGGGCAAATGAGCCGAGGTGGTTCAAACGCCAATGCATGTTGTTCAAGCAACAGTGGATGTTGTTTCAAACAGCAGTGGAGGTGTTTAAAGCAGTGATGGGGTTGTTCAACCAGTTGTTTGCATGCACCGCATGGCCAACCAAGTTCCTGTGCCAATTGGTTTTAGCCCTTGAGGCCACGTCCCTCGAAACGTCATAAATGAACTCGCCCAACTTTAACAACGCAAACAAGAAAACCTGAAAATGCTCAGTTTCCAGAGGGCAGCCCGCCAAAGGACCCAAGATCTTTGCCCATGTCTCTGCCACATGGGCACGAGGCCAATCACTGCCCCTCCATTGCGACCTTCCAGACGAACTTGACCCATTTGCCCACTTGACTCTAGCTTAGAGTGGATTTTTGGCCAGGTGACCGTGACTGGCAGTATGACGTGGGCCGACTGCATTGGCTGCATGTCGCCGGTTGTGGAACGCAACTTCGGGAAAGCCCTTGGAGGCGCAAAGAGAAAGCGAGAGAGAGTGAGGAAGTTCAGGTGCACACAGTGGCTGCATTCCAGACCAAAGTTAGTTAGCTTTCTGCACTTTTGAAGCGCAACTCAGCTTTCCGCAGATGAACACTTTGTTAGACTTTCACTTTGTTAGACTTGGCTTTTTGTAAACAAAGCGCTTCGTGGACGAAAAGCCAATAGCAATTCGATTTCTCAAGCTCAACAGGGCATCCCGTTGGCCAATCAGGTCTACGTATATGGCTTTAGCCCCCACCTCTTGGGAGACAATGCCAATCGTCGTTAAGCAAAGATCGCGGCTTCCAGTTCAATCGGCTTTCCGAGGGTGAAAGGCTTGCAAGCTCCAATTGGCTTCCCCAAGGCAGCCTGCGATGGTTTTGAGGCAACGTCGAGGAGAGAAATTCAGTTCGCCCCCCGAATTTTCTTGTTTGACCAGGTGTGCTGAACCTGCCACAGCACTACTTTGAGGTGAGCAGAATTGGGCAGGCAGGGCTGAGCGGGGGGGAATAAAATCACCGAGACCATTACCACGTCGCATCAGTTTGCTTCGTTCCGCTCATGTGTCAATAGAAGATGCTTAAAGTTGCACCATCCCAATCGAATTGGACGTGCCATGCCCTTGTTTTCTCATAACATGCCGGCCAGCGGAAACATTTGTGTCCGAAGTGCTTAGTTCACCATCTTTTGCCCAGTGCTTGCCTACAGTCATCCAAGGGCCGCCCTGTTGAATTGGGCACCGACCTCCCACTCCCCCAAGCCGCCGCATCGGAAACCCAACCTCAGCCTTCTGCATGTCGAGTTGGAGCCGCTGAACCGCGTGCCGCCCTTCAAATTCAAGGCGATGAGCACTGAATGGTTCTTTTTTTCCAGCCATGGCCACGCAGAATGTCTAGCTTCAGCGATGAAAGAAGGCCATAAACGACGGTGAATTTTGACCTTCCACGGGGCACTCATGTTGCACCTGCGCATCTTCGGGCGCAAGAAAGCCCGATTCCCCGAAGCCTGCCTGGTTGAAGCAATGTTCCTCCCGTCGTTGTCGCGCTGCTTTTGCATTGAAGGCGCAGAGGGTTGCACCAAAAGTTTGCCCGAACACAGGACGATACGAAGACGCGCGTCTTCAGGGCGTCAGGCGAAGACACGAAGAAAAGAAGACACGCATCTTCAGTGGCTTCAAGGCGTCAAGGCTTTCGGAATCTTACGCGGGCTTGTGCGGCCACACGCAAATCTTCAGAGTGTCAGGCGAAATCATGAAAATGTGAACGCACGAAGATACGCATCTCCAGGTCCAGGTCCTTTGGCTTGTGAAAACGCGGTGGTTCCCTTTGAGCAAGCCTGGCGCGGAGGAAGATCTTGCTTGCCTCCAGCATGAGACCGTCGCTGTGCCTGAAGATATTGCCCTGACCAACTTCCGGAGGGAGCGCGCTCACTGTCCCGTCAGGGGGTGCAAGGTGCTGAGTTGCCCAATCATCATCATAGTTGAGTGCTCGCCACCCATCTGGCTGGCATGTTCCTGGCATGTTCCTGTTTTGGTTGTTCCTGCCTAGGTGCTTGGTGGTGGTCCAACGTGCCAATCATCTGACTGCCCCCCATCTGTCTGGCATGTTCCTGTTTTGGTTGTTCTTGCCTAGGTGCTTGGCCCAACGTGCCAATCAAGGGGCCTACAACGCGACCCGCTGCGCTTGCACTGCCCTTTTTGCTTGAGTACTCCGAGGGAAAGGGCTGCAAGAGCAAGAGGCGCCAAACTCCCAACAACCTTGATAGAGGCGCCTCGATGCTTCCAACCGTCCTCACCGTCTGAACGCCTGCTTCTTTTTCGGGGAATCTATGCGATGGACACTGTCAATTCTTTCAGGGGCGAGCGGGTCAAAGTCAGACAGCCAAGGGGCACACAGAGTCCTTCCCTTGCATCTTCCATCCGCGACACTTCTAATGTTAGACAGTCCCAGCTTATGCCTCATGCGCTGGTTCGAAGGATCATGATTTGAGCAGTCACATGGCTACGGCAATTTTGTGCTGAAGGTCGAAAGAAGGTTCTGTGTGTTTGCGGATGTTTGGCCTTCATGCTATCAATGTTTCACACAACCATTGTTGGCCCAAGGCCCTGTCAGCGCAATCCTAATGGCGTGAGACTCAAAGAGGGTCGCTGCCTGTACCTTGCAGAGGGTGGTTTCAGTAGGGGGGACAAGGTTTTCACCCTTCCCACTTCCCAGGGCAGAGAGTGCCAATGGTCAACCATGGCTGGGCTATGCAAAGTCACCCCCACCCGAAAAATCTTTCGGCATGTCCTCGCGAGACGTACGATTGGAAAATAGTTTTGCACTTCTACGTGGACACGCAGTTTGCCCACGCGTTGGGCAGCTACTTTGGCACCGCCGCACCTTTGCCGACCATTCTGCTCGAGGAGGTTTTGAAGACTGCGGGCACTTTCACGCTGCACGAGCTGGAGACGAGCCTTAGGCCGGGCCCAAGACAAACGTGGAAAGAAGCCGGCGCTGCAACAACAGGACTAAGCCCCAAGATTTGATAGGAGCGCCGCAGTGAGGCAACACTGAATTCCAACATGAGAACTTGGTGGAATTGCGTTCAGAAAGCGATCAAGCACGAAGAGCCCCCACCCTACAGATGACACACTCCCATCAAGGCAAGTTGCAAGCTTCTTTGTTGCGCTTGCTCCGGGACAGCTTGTCAGGAATCCAAGGAGTTCAGGAGCCCCGCAGCAACTTGTTCAAACAAGTGTTTACTAGTGTTACAACAGGTTTAAATCCTTGACTTCAGCCAGTAGTAGTAGTAGTAGTAGTAGTAGTAGTAGTAGTAGTAGTAGTAGTAGTAGTAGTAGTAGTAGTAGTAGTGGTAGTAGCAGTAGTAGTAGCACAAGTAGTCGTAGTAGTAGTTGCAGAAGTAGTAGCAGTAGTAGTAGTGGTGGTAGTAGTAGGTAGAATGGTAGTGGTAGAAGCAGTAGTAGTACTACCCACAGCGCCCTCGTAGTAGTAGTAGTAGTAGCAGCAGTACTAGCAGTAGCAGCAGCAGTAGTAGTAGCAGTCGTAGTAGTCGCAGTAGTAGTAGTAGTAGTAGTAGTAGTAGTAGTAGTAGTAGTAGTAGTAGTAGTAGTAGTAGTAGTAGTAGTAGTAGTAGTAGTAGTAGTAGTAGTAGTATAGTAGTACTAGTATAGTAGTAGTATAGTAGTAGTATAGTAGTAGTAGTAGTAGTAGTAGTAGTAGTAGCAGTAGCAGTAGTAGTAGTAGTAGTAGTAGTAGTGGTAGTAGCAGTAGTAGTAGTAGTAGCAGTAGCAGTACTAGTACTAGTAGTAGTAGTGGTAGTGGTAGTTGTAGTGGTATGTATTATAGTAGTTGTAGAAGTAGTAGTACTAGTAGTAGTAGTAGTAGTAGTAGTAGTAGTAGTATTAGTGGTACCGACAGTAGTAGTAGTAGGAGTAGTAGCAGCAGTACTAGCAGGAGCAGTAGTAGTAGTAGTAGCAGCAGTAGTAGTAGTAGTAGTCGTAGTAGTAGTAGTAGTAGTACTAGTTGTAGTAGTATATAGTAGTAGTAGTAGTAGTAAGTAGAAGTCAGTAGGGGTAGGTGGTAGGTAGTAGGTGTAGTAGGTGGCAATGGATAGTAGGTAGCAGGTGTAGTAGGTAGTGGGTGTAGTAGGTAGTGGGTGTAGTAAGGTGTAGTAGGTAGTAGGTGTAGTAGTAGTAGTAGTAGTAGTAGTAGTAGTAGTAGCAGTAGCAGTAGCAGTAGCAGTAGTAGTACTAGTAGTAGTAGTAGTAGTAGTAGTAGTAGTAGTAGTAGTAGTAGTAGTAGTAGTAGTAGTAGTAGTAGTAGTAGTAGTATTAGCAGTAGTAGTAGTAGTAGTAGCAGCTGTGGTAGTAGTGGATGCGCTGCTGCCAACCCGGGGGTTTCCGTTGTGTGTTGTGTTGAGACGGACGGCCAAATTTTGTCAGGCAGTCGGACATTACTTACGGCTCCTTCAGCCTCAGTAGTTGGGGGCCATTCGAACTGACCGGGCAAAGCGCACCAAGCTACTCAGCGTGGACAACTCCAGCTCCCTCGCCGGGGCAGACCGCTGTGATGACCACCGTGGCCACTGCGCCTTGTCCGGCCGTTTGCAAAGCCTTTTATTTGCAAGATTTGATGTGCGGCTTTCACCTACTTTCCGGAATTAAGCCGTGAAGCCTTCTGGGGTAGATGTTGATTGCGAAAGCTCTGATGCTCGCTGCCTCGCCTCGCACAGGGCAACGGGCCTACCTCGATTGGTCTTGGCTACGCTCTTCAAATGTTTGATGAGCGCGTGTGTTTTTTGAGGGCACCATTGCGGGGTTGGTTGAAAAGGGAACCGAAAGGGAAAACAACAACTCTCTGACACAAACAGTATCAGTATCATTGTAGGCAATCAAGGCTGGGGACTTCTAGTGAAAGACACATCATGCTTAAATGGGTCCTCATGATTGCCGGTTTTCTCGCTTGTCTTGAAGAGACATCAAGGGGGTCAAAGCACATCATCTAGATGACCACAAAATATTATTCCACCGCCCAAGTGGTTTCCAAAGACTGTGGATGGGCAAACCCCGCATCAGTTGGGATGGATCCACATCACGATATGAACCCGATATGAACTCAGGTCACTGCTTCGCCGGAGGATGAGATGGGCACTGTGATGCTCGTCGTCTCATTGTGTGTTTCTGGTGCGACCCTCCTCCTGCTGGCTTGCATGCCCCTGGGAAGGAACATGCGTCTGGTTCGCGTGAATTCTTGTTGTTTAGTTTCCAGAACGCAACAATTTGGCATTTTGTGGGGCAGGCGCGATCAGGCGCGCTCACACTTCACCCCGCCCTATGTTGCTTTGCATGAAAGGCTCACCGTTGCTCACGAATCTCAAGACAATGAGAGCCAGGTACGTAATGCACGAATCCAAGCCCAATACTTGAATGGAGAATAGCCTCAAACATGGGTATCAACAAACCCTCTTCAAGGATGCCTTTGGGCCATCTAAAGACTCCTCTTGATTTTAGAGGATTCCGTGTGAAGCGTGTGGCTTTTGGCTGTATCCTTCGAAGCGGAAGTTCGGTGCACTAAGATTTAGATGGAGCCCCAAGAGTTTTTTCAAATCGTGGCTCTGGTTGCTTGTGGCTTGAGCCAGTTCGATGCAAAGATTTAGATGGAGCACCAAACGTCTCAAGCGTGGCTTCTCTTGGTTGCGGTTGCCCGTGGCTTGAGCACTGTGCTGAGATTCCGGCGGCGTATTCGGATCTGTTTGCGCGGCAAGTCTCGGAGTACAGCCCCGGCGCCCGTGAAGCACGGGGCGCCCGTGACCTCTTCTGGGCCCTCGGCGGTGGTCTACGGGGGGAAGGCGCTGCTCAGGAGATGGGGGAAATGGCCCGGGCTTCGGAGGCACGTCTAGCAAGTGGGATTCGGAAAATCGGGATTCGGAACCCAAAGCCCTCAGGCTTCCTTCCTTGCTCCGAACCCTGGATTAAAGAAGAAGAAGAAGAAGAAGAAGAAGCACACACACACAACAAAAAAAGAAGAAGAAGAGCACACCTCTGCACGCCCTGCACCGCGTCTGCACGCGTCAGGCGAGCTTTTGTTGGGAGGTCCTTCGGCCCGGCATGGCCCGGCCGTCAGGACCCACAGCAAGGAGGAGTTCAGCCCCTTGTCCGAGGACCGGGGGGGGGATGTCGGCGGCTCCAGAGGTGTCCAGTGCTTGGAGAACCGAGTGAGTCATGGGTCAAAAGTCAGAGACTGCCCGTACGGGACCCAATCCAACCACTAAAATGGGTTCGAGAATGGGTGGCGAATTCACCGAAAACCCCAAAATGGGATCCCGTTGGTTTTGAACCATGGCCATTTAAGCTTTTGGAGAGCCACCGGCGGCTTTTCGTGAGTGGCCGGTTTTTTTCCTTCCCCCTCAGGACGCCTTCATGAACTTGCCCAAGTACTGGAACGGTTCGAGGGATGGGCGGAGCTACGAGGGCGCCTTGAGGGAGGACTTGGCCTTTGACGAGCTGATGTACGTGTCCCACGAGAGCCTGCAGCATTTCCAGGACATGGTCGCGCGGCAGCAGGCAGATGTTCGAGGTGCGGCAGTCTCATTTGGCTTCTCGCCTTTTCCCGCAAACCTGGTAACGTGCCTTCTGAAACCAGCGCCGCGCTTGCGCCTCTTGTTTGTGTAGACACTTCGAGACTGTTTTGCGGCATAGTTTTCCTTTTGGTGACGGTGGAAAATGCTGCTTCCAAGCAGCCTTGAACTCGGTTGTCCAACGATCGCGTTTCAGCAATTTTGACCTTTAGGTATCCCACCTTTTGATGCATGTTTTATGAGTGCAGCCCAGAAGGCCCAGCTATGTTCCCCTGTGTCCTTGCAAGTGAGGCAGGGCCAATCTGTCCCGCGCCCCAGGGCCCCAACCCCAGACCATGGTCAATCATGCAGATTCCATCATCGCCCCGCTTATCTGCATCAAGTCAATTCCACCTCCAAACTGCCAAGCCAAGCTGCCATGCTCGCTCAACTTCCTGCTTCTTTGTCTTTTGTCCGTAGGATTCATCATGTTGGGTCCTCAACAGTTGTTTGGAACCCGGTTTCGCTTTGACCCACTCTTTCGCCCCAGCTGGAGTGACCTTGCTGAGGTGACGCACAGCTACAGAGCCATCACCACGCAGGACCGGCTGTGCCCCACGGGGAAGCACGACAAGACGCGGGGCGGCTGCCCCTGCGTGCAGGTGGGGGGCGATCCTGGCCTGCCCACGGGCTTCCAGGCAGGACCAACGGGCGTTTTGTCAAGCCCTGGTTCCCTTTCTCACTCAAAAAGTCCCAGGAGGTTTTGTTTTGCCTTGTAGAGTTCCGACGTTTACTTCCAATCTAAGGAAGTGAGCTTTAAAGGAACGCCAGCACGCTGATTGAACAAGATGGAACTGGCGAAAGTGGGGATCTTGGTGGGCGTGTTGGGGGGGAGCTTGATACATTGATACATCTTGCACGCTTGGCAACGTGTGCTAAACGCTTCAATCAAGGGACAACTTGAGATGTGTTGGTTTCGCCATGGCGGAAGTTCCGTGAACCCCAAAACTCATCCCGACTTGGCGCAGGTGAAGCGTGTGATCCGGGTAGAGGACTCCGAGATGCCCCTGGGCCAGGTCGAGCAACCCCAAATGGGATGGACCGGACACAAAACAGAGATCAACACCAGCTTCAAATCCCCAAACCACCGGTTCGGGCAGTTTGGGGTTAAGGTTTGCTGAAAGAGGCTTGCCGGCTTGCTTTGGTTTTTGAGTAGAAACTCCGAAGCACTGTGGATTTAGGCAAGGCGTGCCAGATTGGGTTGAGGTTCTGGCATTAAACTACCCCTGCAGGCCCGGCCCGTTAGGGTGGCCCTGTTTTCCGGTTGGGCCTTAGCAAGCCCTCAGCACCGGGACCCCAATCTACAAGGTTGGAGCTTGGAAGTTCACCCTGCCAAGCCAAGCTTCGCCCAAATTCCCTTGGCCCAACTTTTCTGGGGCACGTCATCTCCATGTGCTGCGTGGATGGGAGCTTGATCCGCTGGACGTATACTGGTAGTTAGATGTAATGTCCCGTGAGCCAAGCCTGCTGTTTACTCTGGACCTTTTGGAAGCGTTTTCCTCTTGGAAAGAGAGGCCAGTGCCGTACCCCCCTGTATGTACACTATATAATGATATGATCATATATATATATATATGTATATTTAGAGTATAATCATGATATATGTAGTATGGGTTTCCTTCTGGCCACCCTTTTGTTCCCAATCACACGGGGGGTCCATGTGGCTGGTCAGAGATTTTTGGCCAGCCAGAGTGGAACCCTGGTAGATGGAAACGCCCATACCCATGTTGAGACACGCTGAAACCATCGCGGATCTGAGGTTCACCCGGTACATCACGCGGCTCTCCAAGATCAAGGCGACCCGCACCTCCTGCGACGCCCCGGACCCGAGCTTCTTCACCCGGGATGCCATGGATCACTTCCCTGGGCTGCAGGAGGGGCTGGTGAAGCCAATGACCTCCTTATGAGCTGGTTTGCCCCAAGGCAACAGGTCCGTATCAGGGCCGAAGTAATCCGGACGGGGTTGTGGAGGAACCTGTTTGTGGAGGGCTTTATGTCAGGCTGAAAGTAGATGGCGCAATTCCCATTATGTGGGTAAGCAAAGGGGATGATGAAACCAACATGGGGAAGTGGTGCTTCACCCGACTATAAAGCCAAGTGGAGCCGGGGGACAACTAGATTCGAACAAAAGTAACCTTTCGCTTTTTCCATGGGGGATGTGAAGTCAACGCCTGATAGTTAAACTTCCGCCAAAATACAACCCTTTGAGGTTGTGTTTTGATGGGATCCTTTCGCGACTCGCGTGCCCGCCAGGTGTTCAGCAACCCGCGAGGGCTTGTAAGGTACACCGAGTAGGCTCACGGCGAACACACGTTCACGAGAACCCACACATGACAATGATAACCTTTATGTTTCAGAAGGGACGCTCATCCACGAGAACACGCGCGCGCGCGCGCCAATGTCGTGCTTATGTCCAACACGCACGCCCAGTCACGAGAAACAATCACGAGGAGCACGCATTCACGGCAGGCCGTGCGCGACAACGCTAGCATTGGTGTTGAACGCTCAAAAGGAGCACGCATTCATGAGAACCCATGCCAGGCAATGATAGCGTTAACGCCATAGGAGAATCATTCGCAGAAGAACTACCTTCAGAGACCCCACTCTCGACAATGATGTCGTTGGTGTACAGGCGAACCGCACACACTGAGCACACATTCACAAGAACCCACGCTCGAGAATGACGGTGTGCATGTTGGAGGAGGATCGCTTCACAATGAACATAACACCAACCCACACGACAATGATAGTGTTCATGCTAGAGGAAGACGCTTACAATGACGCACGTTTCGAGAAGTTACGAACGACAATGGCAGCGTTCATGTTGTAGGAGAAATGCTTGGAATGAACACACATTGAGGAGAACCCAAACACGATAATGATAGCGATCGTGTTACAGGAGGCAATGAGCGCACATGCACTGCAACCTACGCACGACAACGAAACAAAGCTCAGGTGATATCCCCAACAGCACGCGGTGCTCTTTTTTGTGCTCAGGCCCTACCGCAGCGCGGGAAGCAAACCACCGACCCAAGCCACCAATCATGGCGCACCGCCGGTTTTGCTTAGGATAGGTACAGCCGACGGTGCCCGACCGGGGCCCGACGGTGCAATCTTTAGTTGTTACTGTGTGGGAGCCTTACCCATAGCCCTTGCGGAACTGATTGTGAAACCCTTGCGGAACCCTTGCGGAACCCTTGTGGAACCCTGATGGAACCCTTGTGGAACCCTTGTGGAACCCTCGTGGAACCCTCGTGGAACCGCCCCGGACCACGGAGCCCCATCTGGGCTGAGACCCCAAAGCTTTCGCGTCGGGGGAAAACTCAAAATGATGTTCACCAGCGGCCGCGCACGACAGTGAAAATGATAGCGCTCACAATAAACATAGTTTCACGAAAGCCCATGAATGAGAACGGATTCCCTCCGCAGGATGGGAACTCCTCCACGACTCACCAAAAATGCCCTCTTTCCCATGCGAGGTAAACGCAGGGCTTCCTTGAGAAAAGCATGGTCTCACCAAACCTTGTTGTCAGCTTCCATGCTTGTTGGAACAAGTGCGTTAAGTCCATGATTCTGCCTGTTTTGTGGGGAGCTCATCTGTGGCTAAGAAACCCGACACTTTGTTGTTTTACGTTTTTCTCCAAAGTTTGGATTGACCGGGAGCTTTTGGGCATGGAGTTTGGGGTGCTGGTGCAGGTGCTGTTTTTTGGGAGTGCTGGTGACGGTGCGGGCGCAGTAGTGCGAGATTGACGGCAGGGTGCAGAGGGGTGTTTGGGGGTGCTGTTCGGTGCAGTTTGGGGTGCTGGTGCAGGTGCTGTTTTGCGGTGTGGCGTTTTTGCAAGATTGATGGCAGAGTACTTGGGGGCATGCATCGGGTGCTGTCGGAGGAGTGCGGCGTCCGCGGGCTGTTGGAGGTGCTGGTGTGCAATCCTCTGCCTGTCTTTTTTGCCATCTGGGGTCTACGCTGGTGTAATTTTTATGTCTCGTGAAACACCCAGCAGGGGGTGTCACGTCGTGGCGATGAACTTGGTAGGACGTCCTGGGGACCCTGGACGACGAGCTCAACGAGGTGTACCTGTGGCACGGCACGCAGGTGCGCACCGGGCTCCAGATCGCCCAGGAGGACCGGCCCCAACCCCGTGGTTGGTTTCCCCAGGGGAAACGTCTGGGTCAAGTCTAGGGGGTAGTCAAGAATCGGAAGCCTGTATTCCATTTAGGATCCCCACATGATCATGGGTCACTTTTACCATGTGGGAAGTATCTTCTTTTTAGTGGCTTTCCTCGATCCCACGAAAAAGGGACCTTTTGCTCATTTCTGGGTTTCGAGCGATTCCACCGCTTCAAGGGTTTGTTGACAGACATGTTGCAGGTTTTGGAAGTATTGCACAATTGGCAGGTTGGACAAAGAGGGGAAGGAGTGGCCCTTAGGCAAAACGAGAGCTGTTGGGGAGGACTTCAACCTCACCTTCGCTGGGTCTGGGGCGGGCACCATGCGCCTTGGGCTGATGCTGGCCTTTGGCCCTCGTGCAGACAGGGCTCGGGTCCGTAGATGTTCCGCACGCGTAGGTCAGGCGTAAGTGAAAGTTAAACCCTGGCTTCGACGGGCTGAGGTGGGATGACCTGGGGACAAAGCGAGCTAAGGCCCAGTGGTGAAGGACCTTACTAGCTCATCATTCTTTTCTGTTGGTGAACTACTGCACGTTGTGCAGATCAGTTTGCTAGAGTTGGATGATGAGGTTGAGCAATCATTTGGAGACTCAAAGCAGCCAGGCTCGTTTGCAGGCCGGTGAGTCGGTCAGTCGCTTTCTCCAACTGGATTGCCGCATGAAAGCATGGGTACTGAAGAGATGGTGAGAATGTTGGCAAGGGACACTCCCAGCCAATCGGTGCGGCCATCCTCTGAGTTCCTTACTTGGTCGGCTCAGCCGACTCAGCTGAGCGCAGAGCTGAGGTACGGCAAGGGCCTCTACTTCTGTGAGAGTGCCACGAAGGCGGATGAGTATGCCAGGGACGAGCCAGGGGGGCACTACGAGCCCCAGCCGAACCATGGGGAACATGTCTGGGCGCGGACCGTGACTGAAGGGCCTCATGAAGGTCTCATTCTTTGGGGACAGACCCTGCCACGGAGCCACTGGCAAAATGTTTGCCTTCTGACCCAGGACCCTGTATCAAACGTGCCCCACAAAAGCGTATGGGTTTGCCCCGCAAACGGGGTGATACGAGCTTCCTTGTACGGTTTCTTCAGTTGTATGCACTCAGGGCTTCGCCGGCCCCTCTGTTCCAGTTCTTGGAGCTGCGACAAGGGGTAAGCTTTGCCTAGTGGCTGGATGGTGGCTTGCTACTTGCTTCATTTCCCTCGTCAGGCCGTTTCAGGTGTTTGTGCCTGCTTGCTATAAGTCCAAACCCCTCAACATGGCAAGGAGGCAGTGGTCGGAACAGCGAGCCAAGACCAGACCTGGTGACTCATGTGTGTTGATGTCTCGGGTGCCACCATATATGCCCTTTGTATTTTTATGTGCCCAATGAGCGGTTCTTAGAGCTGATATCTCTTCATCTTTGTTTCCACCACCTGCATGTATCTACGCGGCTGGTCCCTTCAAAGGCCAGTGGAATGTGTACTTTGCCAATCTGAGGAAGGGGTACGCGCGCTGCTGCTTTGCCGGATTTGTGTGGGGAAGTTTCACTACACCCAGGACCTGAATTGTTTGCAGCGGGGAGAGCGGGCAAGTGGAGACGTGCCAAAACTGGGGGCCCTCTTCAGAGTGTTACGCCGATGTCCCTTCTTCGCGTTTCTGAAGGAGCTCTTTTTTTGCAGGGTGCTGGCTGGAGCTGATGGGGCAATTGGCTATCCAATGTCCAAGTCACCCAAACTCGAATCCGGATCGCCAATGACCAGATGACTGGATGGTGAGTTTGCCTCTAGGCTTGTTCTATCAAGCAGGGGGCAGATCTGGACAGCACTCGGGATGTCCAAGCATTCCCTGGCTCCGTGGAAGAATCCTGATTAGATGCCAGTCAGGGGCATACGGCTGGGGTTGATTGAAATAACCAACGTGTTTGGCTTCCTTCCAGTGGCCGAATACCTCTAGCCGCAAGCCCGGAAAACCGGTGGCGAAGCTCCCCGCCGGCTTCTGCGGTTGTCATCTTTTGGCGGCTCGGCTGGTTTAGCACGAGCTGCGTCCGCAAAGGGCTGCTTTCTGCAGGCGCCCCTTCAAAGTCAGCTCGAACAACCATATGCGGGTTCAAACAAAGCGGATGTTCTTCTCGGGTGACTCCTGAAGGTGTGTTGAAAAGGGGCTTTGTCAACAGCCAACTTTCCATTGACTGAATGGCCTGACCTTTCCAGCCGGAAAGGTTGTGTTGTGCATGCTGAGGGAATGGGCCAGTCAAAGTTTCACAGCACTTCCAAGTAAGCGCCCCGCTCAGGTGAAGCAGATTGTTTAATATTGTTTCTGGATGCATCCTCTTAGCACGCTTGGTTTGGGAAACGAAAGGGAAAACCGAAGCCACTTTTGGGTAATGCGCCTTATTTCGAGACACACCCACGTCGACCCATCTTTGTGTCCCCCTCCTTTTGAGGGTCCCAACTAGCTTTTGGAGTGGTTGAAATAAATAGGGACCCCCTTGAGTAGACATACCCATGTCAACTTATCGGTGTGTCTACCTTTTAGGGTACCCACCAGCTTTTGGAGTGGTTTGCCTTGAGTGGTTTCAACAATCCGAAAGGTTGAGGGCCCCAACTAGCTTTTGGCGTGGTTGATTTAAGTAGGCCCTCGCTTTTGTTGAGTGGTTTCAAGCGGATTTTCGATGGGATGCGAACCATTTGGGGCTTTTCTGCCGGCCCCAAAGAAATCTTTTGGAGAGGACCGTGAGCCCACGGCCATCGACAAGTACACCTCCGGGGAGAGCGACAGCACGGTGGGGGACCGTGCCAAGTCGGTGAACACCTACCGGGAGAGCCTCGGAACGACCAGAGTCCATGGGGAGTCGGCAGCTCGGGGAGCTGCGGGGTGATGCGGGGTGCTGCGGGGTTCCCCCTAAAGAACATATCCCCTTGAAAAATTGAGTCAAAGCCAAGGGAGGCTCACCTTGGGCCAAGAAGGTGAGGTTCAAAATCAGGAAACGTGGAATTACAGGGGTCCCGGCCTGGGTTGCATATCTTCTTTTCCGCTTGGTGAGCAGCTAATAGCAGCCAGGAGCGTAGCTAGCAGCTAGGAGCGCAGCTAAGAGCAGCTAGGAGCCCGGCTAAGAGCAGCCAGGAGCGCAGCTAAGAGCAGCCAGGAGCGCAGCTAAAGAGCAGCTAGGAGCGCAGCTAGGGTCAAATCCGACTAAGGATCGTGGTCTACGATACCGACCAGGTTCGCGATTCTGTCAGCTTTGTTTGAGCCAGCCCGGAAACAGCAGAGTGGATTGCTTTGGGTGAATTGGAATGAGCTCACTGGGGGGAACGAGCCATGAGAGATAGGCTTCCTTGGGATATGTTTCTAGCTGTTCAGTTGATGCAGTACTGTACATTTTGTTCGACGAGGCATGCCACCCTACGCCTCCACTGGAGATTTGGGGGGGGGTCAGAGAGACATGGCTGGATTTCTGTGCAGACAGGCTTTCGCCATTGCGCCTTCATTTGGCATACCGCCGCGTTTAGCAACTGCCTTTAGGAAAATAGTTCGAAAGTCATTTCCAGCAAGTCTTCCCGCAATCGCGCATGGATGGCTAAACCCCGGAGGATCTGTTGCAAGCCGTGTGTTTGGGGTTCTCGAAGCTGGTTGGGGCTGGCCTGGCAGGTGTACCCCGAGTACCTGGTGCTCTACGAGCGGCTTCAGAAGGGTGAGACCCCTCAACCGCCCCCCAAAGACCTGCCGTTCCTTCTGGAGCTGCCGCTCTACTGGAAGACCCTTGGCAAGGGAAGCTGGCTTCCGGAGGCGTCTTGTTCGACCGGTCGGGTCTCGGCCGAACATCGAGGCAGAAGCTGAACACCATGTTTCTTTTTTTAACTCCCCAGGAGTTGGCCGAGAGTGGATGCAGCCCTCGAAATCGCTGGCTGTTGAACCGCGACAAGAGAGGGGACCCATGCAAACTGGGATCCCCTCACCTCAAAAGAGAGAAGAGTACACATATTGGCTCCACCAGGGCAGCTGCAGATGCAAATGGGGTGGTATGAGCTGCTACCGGATACGCGCATCATAGGGATCAGGAGGATTCCCGTTCCAGGTCAACAAGTGTCCACTCCCGCGAGATACAGTCGGAGGCAAAACGGAGAAAACGAGAGGATGAAAGGCTTGCCTGAATGGTTTTGCTCCCACCTTGTTTGGCCGGTGCTTTTGTTTTCGGGCCGTTCGCTTTGACAAGTGTATTCGTAGATTTTCTTGCTTTGTACGTCTTGCTCGTTTCTGCGTTTGCAAGCCAGAGCGCCGCTTGGACGCTTTACCCTGTTTGGCTGACGGTTTTGCTGTGTCCTCAAGTCCGTGGAGCGATCGCGTGCTGATGGATGTGTCTTGGGTTGAAAGCGAACCCCAAGATGATCCCCCTGGCCGAAAAAGGGCCCCTTTTTGGAGAAGGACCCACATGAACCAGGGCTGTTTCGATGACGATACGGTTCGGTACCGCAAGCTCCGCGATACCACTCGATTTTATTGATATGTATTGCTTTGAATATCCGATAAACTTGCGATACAGCCTCGATACTCAACCGCTGGGCGCTGCGGCTGCGCGCTGGTGTGCAAGCTGTGCTGCCAACAGGCCGGGAACCTCGAATTCGTCGCCAAAAGCCCGAAAGAAGCAAGAATCGAGCCGGCACTTCTGCAGGTGCAAGAGCCAGACACAATCCACTACACCAAAATACTCTTACAAGCCTCCTCAAAAAAAGGTCTGAAATCGACATTAATTTTGGTCACCCTCAGGAACCCTCAAAAACGATCTAACTCGCCGAGTTAGGTTGATTTCTGGCCTCGGCTGGTTGCAGCTGTCCCGGATGAGCCCTGGGAAGTGGGAACCCTCAAAAACGATCTAACTCGCCGTTAGGTTGATTTCTGGCCTTGGCTAGTTGCAGCTGTCCCGGATGAGCCCTGGGAAGTGGGAACCCTCAAAAACGATCTAACTCGCCGAGTTAGGTTGATTTCTGGCCTTGGCTGGTTGCAGCTGTCCCGGATGAGCCCTGAGAAGTGGGAACCCTCAAAAACGATCTAACTCGCCGAGTTAGGTTGATTTCTGGCCTTGGCTGGTTGCAGCTGTCCCGGATGAGCCCTGGGAAGTGGGAACCCTCAAAAACGATCTAACTCGCCGAGTTAGGTTGATTTCTGGCCTTGGCTGGTTGCAGCTGTCCCGGATGAGCCCTGAGAAGTGGGAACCCTCAAAAACGATCTAACTCGCCGAGTTAGGTTGATTTCTGGCCTTGGCTGGTTGCAGCTGTCCCGGATGAGCCCTGGGAAGTGGGAACCCTCAAAAACGATCTAACTCGCCGAGTTAGGTTGATTTCTGGCCTTGGCTGGTTGCAGCTGTCCCGGATGAGCCCTGAGAAGTGGGAACCCTCAAAAACGATCTAACTCGCCGAGTTAGGTTGATTTCTGGCCTTGGCTGGTTGCAGCTGTCCCGGATGAGCCCTGGAAGTGGGAACCCTCAAAAACGATCTAACTCGCCGAGTTAGGTTGATTTCTGGCCTCGGCTGGTTGCAGCTGTCCGGATGAGCCCTGGGAAGTGTTCAACATGGAATCGGCTTGAAGCAGTCTCAGTCTGTTTTCTTGGCTTTCCATTTCTCCAAAGAGGGTCTCTTCTAAGCAGCCTCTCAAAGACTTTGCCAGCGCCTCCCGTGCCAGGCAGCCACCAGCACAGCAGCAGCTGGCTGCCGCCCTTCTGGCCCCAAAGGGCCCCTCAAAGCAAACCCCAACCGATACCGATACAAATCGGTATGATTCAAAACGATTTGCAGCGATAGTCTTCGATACGATGTGAGGTTGCGATACTTGCTTTTCGATACCGATAGCTCGCAATACGCAGCGATACGATTCGGTATGTTGTATTTGTATTGTTGAAACGACCCTGTGAACTGATCCAAAGTGCGGACGTTGCGGCTTGGCCCCAAAAGGGATCTATGAGGCCAGACTTGGGCTTTTCTGTGGATCGGTGACTCCATTCATGATGTCGCGGGGTGACAGATGCGTGTGACACCGAAAGTTGACGGAAATAGTCAGTGGAGCATGCGTCCTTTATAACGAGGTGAGACAAGCAATTGCTTTCCCCTCTTTTTCTCTGAGAAGCGAGATCTGCCAGCTTTTCAACTTTCGATTCCTTACTTACTGCTGGTGAGCGGCAACCACTCACAGTTCTGACCGCACAACGAGGCTGCCAATTTGTTCGGGCACTGCTGCATGACTTCTCAGGAACGTGGGCAAGAACCCTTACACAGAAGGCGGGGGCGATGGTAGCCATGCCGGAAGCGAAAGGCGACACATGTGGCACAGCCTTCCATTGGTGCCCTTGGCCCTCTCCTCAAACATTTTTTTCCGGAATGGCCATGGTCATTTCCGGAGCCCGCACATTTGGACGATGGGGTGAGTCCGTTATCGCAATTTGGTGTGGACGATCTCGCTTGGAATGTGCGAAGCCTGGATTCGATTCCGTTGAAAGGTGCTTGAGGGGCTTTCCTGCCCGGGAAGGCACCTCAATTGGAAAGCGGGGCCTCGTATTCCAAGTTGGGGATGCTTAGGGAGTTTGACAAATGGCTTGCTGTCAAGCGATGTGTGAAGACTACAGGCCTCTCCAAATCAACCAAAAGCTCAACATGTGCAGCACAGTCCCTTCCCTAGCTTCGGCTCGTGTGGGTTTTTGACGCTCTCTTCATTTGAGGTGGTCTACCCCATGTGCCAAATCAATATCCCCCCCCCCCCCGTGAGATAGAAAGATAGATGCATCAAAAGATCCGATTATATAGACAGATGCATGAATAGATAGATTGATCGATAGCTTGGATATTCAGATAGATGGATAGATCGATATAATCGGATCTTTTGATGCATCTATCTTTCTATCTATATGTTGTTCTCCCCTTCTTGCGCTCCCTTTCTTGTCGCATAGTCCGGAACAGTCCAACACCCCCCCTTATTTCCCTTCCTCGTGGGCAGGGTAGCTCCAAACATCCAAAGGATGATCACAGGGGTACAGACCTGGTCAACGGTGGAGTTCTGCTCGGCCAAATTTCTGCCCTCCGGAGTCAAACGCTCCTTGGCCCAGCCGGGTATCAAGCCCCAGACTCCTTTCTGGGTTTTGGCTGTGGAGGCTTCCGGGAGCACTGGGTGGTGAAGCACCAGATCAAGGACAGGCTTGCTCACCAAAGACTTTGGGAAGCTCTGAGAAGCCAAGTGCGGGCTGCCAAATCTAACATCAATCTCCCATTCCTTGGGAACCTCGGGCAACCTACCCTCCCCCAGACTAACATGGAGGCTCCCCACCCCTTTGGAAGCCTGGGTTCCATCTGCAGGATAGGCCTTCGAGCTTCCGGCTGTTAGTCTGAAGGAGTGCAGGCAAAATGTTCCGTGCAGAAGACTTTGGCCCATGAAGAGGTGAGTGTGCCGTGGTGATGTTTTAGGGGCTTGAGTTTGTTTTTGTGGGAGCCCTGTGGGGAACCTCGGGCAACTCAGACGTGTTCCGTGCACGCAAGCTTTGAGTCAGGAGCTGGTGCAGCGCCTGGCGGCCGGCTCTCACTCGGGCTCAGCCCCCACGGCGGTGAAGGTGCGCCGCGTGGAGGCGCGTGTTGGAAGCTCCGGATGGGGAGGGGGGGTGGGGTGGATGGGGGCTGGCTTGGGGAATCCCGGTTGGGCCAGGTGAAAAAGAAAAAGGGGCTTGGGTTTGAGGTTGGGTTGGCTTCATGAGGATTGGACGCACGTTGGCAAGAAGCCCAGAACAACATCAAAGTTGCCTTCCTTGCGGTGTCTTTGAGGGTGACTGAGAAGCCGTTGCACGAGCAGCATTGGATCCGGCTTGCGGAATGCGAGTGGGGAGGGGCCTTTACAGCAGAAAGCTGTGTTCCGATGCAAGAAGGGTGGTTCCGAGGAGGGTTCCGGGGATCTCTGGGGCAGTTCTGAGGAGGGTTTTGGGGATGCCTGGGGCGGTTCCGACGAGGGTTCAGGAGTTGCACGGTGGTCCAGGGATGTGTGGGGCGGTTCCGAGGAGGGTTCCAGTCATGAGCAAGCTGAGAGCATACATCTGAAAAAAGCTGTCTTGCGACGGCAAGCATGTCGTGCCGAACTTGCCCGACACAGTTGGCAACATGTGCGCTGCGCGAGCTGTTTGCACTGACCAACTTGTGAGAGAGAGAGACAACTTTCGAACGTGCATGGGAGCATGGTGGTTCCGCTGGCAGGAGGGGGGGGGAGGGGCGTCGCCGGCAAAATCTTGTGTGGCATTGCGAGGGTGCGGTGTGCGGGCGATTCGTTGAAGAATCCAACTGAGTTCTACACCAAATACTCAGCTAGTTTATCAATGATGTGGATGTTCCCGTAGATTCCCTAGCGGTTCCTGGCGCCATTTGCGCAGGACTCAAACCTCTGGTGCCGCTACATCAACTGGAAGCGTAACTTGCAGAATCAGGTGGACAAGGACTGGTGGTATGCAAAGGGAAAACTTGGCATCTCTTTTGAACTTCTTTTGCATTTTAAAGATTCGCTAAACGTGGACCGGAATCAAACGCAGGTTTGATTGACCAGGGGCAAACCTGCAATTCCACGTGTCGTTTTGACATTTGTTCGTCTTTTGCGTCTTCCGGGCGAACTTGGATCTAGCAACTGTTTGATTGATGCCCTGTGCAAGGGGTGGCTCGCGCATGGGAACGTTTGAGCGATAAGCCAGGTGTGTCACATCATCATCATCATCATCATCATCATCATCATCATCATCATCATCATCATCATCATCATCATCATCGTCATCGTCATCGTCATCGTCATCGTCATCATCGCCCCCCCCCCCCCCCCCATCGTCATCGTCATCGTCCTCATCGTCATCGTCCTCATCCTCATCCTCATCATCATCGTCATCGTCCTCGTCCTCGTCATCGTCATCATCATCATCATCATCATCATCATCATGTACAGGTATTGATTGTTTGTTTGCTTGTTTGTTTGTTTGTTTGCTTGTTTTGTTCCCTCCTTTCTTGCCTCCTTGCCTCCTTTCCTCCGTGCCTCCTTGGCCCCTTGGCCCCTTGTCTCCTTGCCTCCTTCCTTCCTTCCTTCCTTCCTCCCTCCCTCCCTTCCTTCCTGCCTCCCTCCCTCCCTCCCTGCCTGCCTGCCTGCCTTCCATCCTTCCTTCCTTCCTTCCTTCCTTCCTTCCTTCCTTCCTTCCTTCCTTCCTTCCTTCCTTCCTTCCTTCCTTCCTTCCTTCCTTCCTTCCTTCCTTCCTTCCTTCCTTTGTGTCTGTTTCAATCTTTGTTCTGCTTTTTTTTCCGCGTTTTTGTTTTGCTGGTTTGTTCCAGTTGGTTGTTTGCTCAATTGTTTTTCTGTCTGTCTGTCTGTCTGTCTGTCTGTCTGTCTGTTTGTGTGTTTGTTTGTTTGTTTGTTTGTTTGTTTTTTGGATAATTGGTTGGTTGGTTGGTTGGTTGGTTGGTTGGTTGGTTGGTTGGTTTCTTTCTTTCCTTACTTGTTTCTTTCCTTCCTTGTTTCTTTCCTTTCAATCTTTCTTTCTTTCTTTCTTTCTTTCTTTCTTTCTTTTTTCTTTCTTTCTTTCTTTCTTTCTTTCTTTCTTTCTTTCTTTCTTTCTTTCTTTCTTGTTTGTCTTTCATTGCTTGTTTAGATGCTTCTCTGTTGCTTCGTTTTGTTTCTGTATTCCTGCTTTCCTTGTTTGTTGGTTGGTTGTTGCATTTGCTTGTTCGGTTTTGCTCTGCTTTGTTTGCTCGTTCGTTGCTGCTTATTGTCGTTTACGCGGTGGTCTCCGTCAGTACTCACCCTGAAGCGTTCGCAAACACCAACTCGCCCAAATCGATCTGGGCGTCTGGCCAAGCGACTGCTTATGTCAGGTAGAAAACGGTTTGGATGTGGTTTTTGTGGATCCACCCCTGCAGGATATTAAAGGAGTACTAAAAGATTACTAAAAAAGAAGCAACCGGGAGAGGAACTGGTGAAATCCACGGAAAGCGCATCCAAAGCGTTTGTTAGATGTCAGGTAGGGGGAAAGCTTTACTGTTTGCCGAGATGGGGCTTGCAGGATGGGCACAAGTGCGTGCCGCCCAATGAGCTGGACGGCAATCCCGACAGCGGCCACGCTGCTCGGACTGGGGAGGAGTGAGAGGGGCCAGTGGAATGCCAGGAGCTGTGGCTCATGCCAATGAGGGATGCGCCCGATGGTGAGCTCACCCATTCGGTGCTAAAGCCAGCTGATGCAAGTCCTTTTGGGGATTCCTTACTTCAGGCCTTGGAAGTACAGCAAAGAGTACAGGGTCATGCCACTGTTGGTTGGGTTTTGGATCTTTCAGTGTTTTGTTTCTATTGGCACATTCTTCACTCGAAAAGCAGAGCGATCACCCGCTGTCCTGAAACAGGCGGTACGGCACGGTACGGCATGTATCGCTGTGAGGGTTTTGCGGTGTAACCCAGGCCTTGTGGGTCGCCTCCAATTGTGCTTTAGGGTATCTTTCATGGTGGTTGACAAACCATACTGTGGATGGTTGCGAGCTCCATTTCGCAGCTTTCAGAAACGCTATGCAGATTTCCCCGTTGCCAACGAAGGGTCTGGCTTCAAGGTGCAGCCCCCGGCCAGTCGCCGGTGCGTCAGGTGCTGACTGGCAAGATCCTCGAGGAGTTCCATGGTGACGAGGACCGCAAAGCGGACTCCGTTTGGGAATCCCTATTTAGTATAGGTCAAAACTTACATCACCCGGGTACCGCAGGTTTTAGTTGTTGGTTCCATTTACCAGGGTTTCATTTTGGGCACCTTTTTGACCCACACCCACATGCTCAGGGGCAGGAATCTCCCAGCCAGCCAGCCAACCAGATGACAAGAATCAGCAAGTCAACGTTGCCAGGCCATTAGTGTGGAGAACATGACCCCGGGCCTCAACGAGATGCTCCTGTGGCACGGTACCTCCCAGAAGGCTGCAGAGGCGCCTGAGGGGGGTCTCCAAAAAGTTGAGCCCAGGCAGTCTTCAGGGTATCTTATGGGAGGGGGGTGACAGGCCCCCCAGCTATCGAAACTTGTGGTTCCGGCGGTTCCTCGCGGATTGGTTGAAAGGTGTGTGCCCTGGTCAAAAAATCGTCCTGTACTTCAGCTTTATAGGGATGATCGTGAACCCATTGGGAAATGGGGGGACATGGGGGGACGAGCTCTGAATGTTCCACACAAATCCGAGGAACTCACTCATTTGTTCTATCTCCCCTTGGAGAAACCAACCTGTTTTTGGGACCTTGTTTTGTTGACCACCAACCCGTAAGCCAAAAAATGCGAAATGGAGGTCCAAAAACCGGTTGGTGGTTGGAGAAACGGGGTCCGCTTTGGGTTGGGTAGCTTTTTTTTTTGGGGGGGGGTGAGACCAGGCCATCGCGGAGCAGGGCTTCATGGTGAACAGCAGCGGCACCCACGGGCGGCGCTTCGGGAACGGGGTGTACTTGGCCGAAGACCTGGCCAAGAGCGGCTTGCCGAGGGCGGCTCTTGGGGGCTTTTGGGGAGGGGCTTTGGTCTTCTGAAAAAGCAAGATGCGGAAATATGTGCGCTTCCTCCTTTGGTTGGTTGGATTCGTGGGCTCTCTCGTTGTTTTTTTTGTGGGGGGGCTGGGCCCCGAGTTTTTTTTCTTCTCCTAGGTTTGGCCTAAACCAACAGCAATAAACCAACCCCAAACCAACCCTACACCAAGCCGAAACCAGCCCTAAACCAACCTAAACCGACCCTAAACCAACCTTAAACCCCCCCCAACCTCATTAACCCTAAACCAGCCCTAAATCAACCCTAAACCAGCCCTAAACCACCCTAAGCCAACCTGAAACCAGCCCGAAACCAGCCCAAAACCAACCCCAAACCAACCCTACACCAAGGCTAAACCGGCCCTACCGCCCTAAACCAACCCTAAACCAACCCTAAACCACCCCTAAACCAACCCAAAGCCAATCCTAAACCAGCCCTAAACCAACCTAACCAACCCTAAACCAACCTAACCAACCCCAAACCAGTCCTACACCAGCCCTAAAACAACCCTAAACCAATCCTGCGCCTTTGAACAAGTGAACCCTCTGCGGACTTTGCTGCGTTTTGGAAACAAGCTTCTTCTAAAAGGCACGCCGTCTGCAGCTTTTCTGGGCCTGGACCTCCAGGCCACGCAAACCTAGGAAAAAAAGGGCCGCGCCGAACCTAGGAAAGAAATAACCCTTCCGCGGGGGGGCCTTCAACTGGCGGCCTGGATCGGTTTGGGGCTTTGAACTGCTTGGTCCTTCTTCGATTTTTTTTTTTGGGGGGGGGCGAGTTCTCCGAACAAGAATAGATCCACCAACTACCAACTGGTGGTTTCCATCGGCCGGGGATTCCTTTGCCGTCCCGCGAGCTGTCGGATTTTCTCTGGGCTCGTGGGCGAATTTCCCTAGGCATGAGCTACGCCTCGGAGGCAAGCGGGGGGAGGGCCGCAAGCTGGGAGCAGGAGCCGGGCGATTGGGTCTGGCGCGCGGAGCGCGTGTGAGCACCGACGACCAACAAGCTCTCTTCAAGACATGGGTGAAACGGGTGTCACTGGCTTTTTACCGCCCCTCAAAGAGAGATGGCATTTAGTGGGGGGGGGGAAAGCGAATGGGCGGTCTCCTTCTCTCCTTTTCCAACTTGAGAGAAGGCACCAGAAGGCAGGCCAGTTCGCCCTCTTGACTCGAAGGTGGGAAGGAGCTCCAAAAACACGTTTGTGTAGCATGAAGTTTAGGGGGGCCAGACAGCAGAGCTTAGCCTTTGAGTTTCCACAAGCAGCCGGCTTCTCCAGGGAGGTTCGCAGTTCAGGGTCAGTGGGTGTTGGCTTTTCCGCCAGGCAAACGGCATTATCTACGTGTTGCTCTGCCGGGCGACTTGCGGGCACATGTACTACACTGAGAGGGACTGGCATAGCAGTGCCCACGAGGATGCCCAAAAATTGCACAAAACCGGCATCCTGGCGAACCCCAACAAGAAAGGCCCTAGAGAGTACATTCTTTTCGACGTCTCACAGGTCTATCCCGAGTATATCATTGAGTTCAAGCGCTAGGCCAAAGGAATCGCGGCTGCTGCGCAGAAATTGGCGTTGTAGTCGCCAGATTCAATGGTTTGGCAAGCAGCGCGCCTGATCGCGCGTTCATGGTTTCACACGCTTGTCTCTGTGCGTTTTTATGCTTCTCTCCTTTAGGACCTCGGCACATGACACTTTTCTGCGTTGTCGTGACATCTGCAGCTTTTCAGACATCGGGCAGGGGCATGCCCTCGCTTGTCTGACGGGGCGTCTCTTCAACTTGCCCCTTGTTGGGTATGACTCATGTTTGCTTGGGCGTTGAGCAGCGAAGGTGGCAGCCCCGACATGCATGCAGAACAAGCGACTTTTCTAGAAACAACTGCTTTCCCACGCTGTGCTTTTGTCCTCCGCGCTGCTCTCTCCCCCAAAGGGGGTTCAATTGCCCGGGCCGGTAGCGGGTACAAAGCAACGAATAGGGGTCCATCCCTGGTGGCAACAAAGTGTCCACCGTTGCTCCTAGGCCAGATGGAGATATGGAGATGATGTGTGCTGCCAAAGGCAGTGCAGAAACCAAGAGGCCACTACGAAAAGATCTATTCTGATTCGGGGGGGTCAGGGGGGGCAGGGGACGGCCACTTTGTGTCAAAGCCAGGGTCCCCACCCTATATTTGGTGTCGAAAGAGGGCCCATACTCAAGTACTTGAGGATGTCGAGGGCTTCCAACTTCTACCCCAGGCCACTGCCCCGGACTGGCAGATGAGAATTGAGGATAGAAGCTTCAAGTCTGTGCATCAATCACACTTGCAATGGTTCTATGCGAATTGTCTACATTTTTGGAGGGTAGTGGCAATTCTCTTTCAAAACTAAGGTTGGCATGCCTATGCTATCTCCTTTGCTCACATCGGGCCCTGTCGAACCCACTGAGGTCAACTCGATAGTGCAGTCCCTGTGCAGATACTGCACGGGCACGGCGGTGGCACGGGTCCTGAACAAGTTGCTTAGCTCGGGACAGCGGTGGTTGTGCCTATGGGAACCCTGCGATGGGTACCCTCAACGAAAGACAAACCTACGTCTTTGCATATGTGCAATCCCCTTTTCTTGATTGAACAAGTATGTGTCAGGCCTGCCCCATACTAAAGTTGTGTCTTTATCATGTGTGTGTTTTTGCATGCGGTCATACTTTTAGTTTGGTAAGGTGTCCGGCACTCATCTTTCCTTCGCTGCTTCTCCACATGAGTTGCTTGGGTGCGTTAGCGTATGCACAAAACACAAGAGCATCACAGGCTGGGCAAAACAATGAGACAGCTACATCAGAATGCATGTGGTTCTTGAGCTCGCGAACGCAATTTGTAGACCACCTCCTGCTTTTTAGGAAGGCGTATTCCGTACACACTGATGTTTTTTCATCCGAAGGGCACTTTCGACTTTTCTCTGGTTGCTTCAATCCACTTGGGAAGTGAGAAGGGCCCTTGCCCACCCGTAGGCCTGACGATTGTCTAGACCGGGGCGCCGTTGAAGCCAAACCATTCACAGGAGCCAAGTAGGGTTAACCTGGATTGTTCTGCGGCCGCCGAGGGTCAACCACGAGTCACCCTCCTTTGGGCAACTCCACTCTGGTGGCGGAGTTTGGTCAGCTAAGTCCAGCATCCGCGGGTTGGGGGCAAGGGAGATTAAGCGCTACCGTTCCTGAGGTTCATGGAGAGCAACTTTGAAAAAATGGAGCGCCTCCTGGAGATGCATGAGGCCCGAAATCGGTCCGATTTCTGGCAGGGCTTTCTTTTTTGTTCCCCGAACTTGGCCGTGGCTCGGGGAAGAACGTGTGCAGAGATGGTTCATCATTCTTTGTGGCGCAAGGAAAAATGCACCGCCAACTCGCACCCGAGCGAAGTCATTCACGCAAATCGAGCTTCGAGATCCTTTTGAAGCCAGTTCTGGCCGAATTCGTCAACCCTCTCAGTTGCAAAGCAGTTGACAGGACTAACACCAATCAATTCGTTTTGCAGAAGGCAAATGAGGAGTCCGGAGTCTGGAATGGGGAGCTCCTAGGATAAAGCTCTTTTCTGAATTGTTGATAGAGAGACGTGCTAAATTAGCGGGGCACATTCTCAGAAGTTCTGACAACGATGACCCTTTTAAACAAGTCAGTTACCAGTTCAATTCGGCAGCAAACTTTGCTGTCGGGAAAAGACGGATTGGTGAACCCCGACAACAGTGGCTCTTCTTCACTAATAAGAGCATTTGGGGAAGAGGCGAGTATGGAAACGCTAGTAGGCAAAGCCAAGCAATTTTTGAAGCAGCCGCCCACCGTCTCACCTTTGTGCCTGCTTTCGGGCATGAGGTCATGGCTTGAAAAACAAGAAAGTTTCTATTTCTGAGGACAACCCAGTCAAGGTGGGGGAATCTGGGCATTTGCTGGCTGTCAGTCTTCCCACATGTGTCCTGACTGCCCTTCATAAAGATACATTCGGATCCTTTTACAAATCCCTTCTGGGGAGGTTGTAAGAGGCTTCTTTGGGAGTGCGGGGGTCTTTGGTTTCCTCCGGTTGTTTCCTCAGAGCGGTGAACGCCATGAACGGTTGGCTTCCAACAGTTTCCCGTAGGTAAATCCCGATTCCATGAGAGAGGGGCTCCAAGAGGAGACGACGAGGTGCGTCAAGGGTGCAAGATCAAATCGGCGACCCCTCAAGACACATGGCTGTGGGTCAAAGCCAATGGTACTAGTTTGGGGTAGGTGCACCACTCATTTCAGTCCATTTTAGTGGGGGATTGGGATGTTCACTGGGGGTACGGGCTTTTGACCCATGCCCACATCACCTTTTATTCTGTTTCGCGGGTGATGTTGGCGGACGTGTAGGCAACCATTCTGTGGCGAGGGGAGGGACGCTCCCAGGAGTACCACCAGTCTGTGAAGGAAGCGGACAGCGCCAGGGACAAGGGCCTTGCCCAGCAGATTGACCGAGAGCTGCCCAGATGAATCTTCTCGACGGCTTGGGTACCCTTAGCGCCTAAATGGGTACCAACTCCAAACACGGGCGCTGTGGACAGCTGGATGGGAAGGAACGAAGCACCAATCTTTTCGAGGGGGGGGTGCAAATATTCCCCGTGTCCTCTCTCGCTGGTAGCCGTTCAAATAGGAAACCACAGATAAAAGCCCAAGAGTGGGGTTGGGCCTATTTTTGAGACACCCGCAAGTTTTTGTCTTTGTAGGGACCCCTTTGGATGGGCAACAACTGGAGACGCATGGGACAAACAACAATTCGGGGTCTGAGCCCCATCCAAAAGGAAGTAGCAAACACACTATGTGGCAAGCATCTGCTTGAATCATCCCGGCTAGCAAATACAAATTGTGACTGATCAAAGGCGGCAGGAAGCTCTGCATGGGCAAAACGTCTGGAAGTTGGAAGCAGTACAATCACACCGCGTTCCCTCACTTGCCCCAGCAGCCAAGGCTGGAGGTGAATGAGGAGGCAGGGTTTGGGGGGTGTTGGGGCAGGGGCTCCTACATTTCCTATTTTTCATCATGACCGTTTTGGGCCAGTTAAAGGTAAAGTGAGCTTCCTGTTGGCACGGTGATTTTCAAGGAGAAGGGACCCGAAGGATGCAGGACGTGCCCAAAATGGCCTCGAGTTCCCTTTGCTTTCCCTTGCGGACTGACAAGGCACGCGGAAACAACGCAACACTTTCCAGCTCCATTTAATCAGTACATAGTGGGGGGGGGTGTCCACACCCATGGGCCGTTCTTATACATGTCCCTTAGTTTCCTTTGGGCAAAAGGAGTTTGAAGCTTTTTGACAAGAGCTTGAAGGTTTTCCTTGGCGAGAAGCCCCACTGGTCAAAAGGGCCATGTTCCAGGATCCGCTGAACAGCTGCCAGGAGCAGCTCTACTTGGACCGCTGCGATGCGGGGCTCTTCACCTTGCAGCAGGTGGACTTGATCCTTGTGCGACTGGCGGGGAAGCCCAGCTTCAGTCGAGTGTGGAGAGGTGAGGAGGAAGGGGGCGGAGCAGGAGCAGGAGGAGGAGGAGGAAGAGGGGGAGAAGGAGAAGGGTTTGTTTGTGTAGTTTGTAGGAGGAGGAATGAAAAAGACACTTTGTGCGGGTTGTGGATTTGGGGTCCATACAGTTTTGTTATGGTGGCCAAAAACCGCGGTGAAAATTGGTATTGAGAATTCCTTGTTGGTCCGAACTTGTTTGGTGTGTGTGTGTGTGCGCGCGTGCTAAAGATGCAGGGTTTCGCTGTGCGCCTGCCTTGCCAGGTGAACATGGGCAATAGGCAAGCGAGCGAGGAGAGACTCGGCTTGCATCGTCTGGTGCGGGTGCGTCGGTGGTGGGGAGGTTGCATCAGAACACGTGGGCACGACAGCTGCACGAATTACGGCGAGCTCACTGGGTGTAAAGGTCGGTCACCCATGAAGGTCTTGAGCTGTTGGTTTCCTTTCTTAGGTTTTGGATGTGTAGCATGATGGAACCTCCCGAGCGATGTTTGCCCAAGAATCGGAAAGCTGATGGACGTGAAGGGCGTGAAGCTTGCGGAGGTGCGGGACATTGTCCTGGAGTACTGCCGGACGCTTGCCCTGACTCGGCCCAGCGCGTGTGTGGTTTTGTTGCGGTGTGTTCCAACTCTCGGACCCCCCTCTCAGGGATATCAGAAGGCTTGTGAAGTGACCTCCAGTTGCGATTCTTGGGGCAGCTAGATTCTTGGGGCAGCTTTGGCAGGTGGGGGGTTTGGCTCTTGTCTTTTTGTTTTGTGAGGTTTCTGCGTTCTTGTGTTTTTCTTCTCGCCTGATGTTTGGTTTGATGCTCGGTGAGGTTGCCTTTAGCTTGGTGTGGTGCTCCGCCTTTGTTTCATGGGTTTGGGTTTCCTTCAGTTTGTTCCTTGTTGCCCCCACTCGCAAGGGTTTTGGCCCAGTTTTCCCTCGTGTCCAAAGCTAAGATTCAAGCCTCGACTTGGCCAAGGAACCTGGGCCCTTTGGCGAGGGAGGAGAGGAAAGAGGTCATGGCCTACCTTCAGGCCATGCTCACCAGGTGTGTCTGCGGGCTCGCGGATGGGACGGTGCACCCGATCGATGTTCTTCTTTTCTTCATTGGCGTTTTTTTTTGCATTCACCAACCAAACAAGCTCAGGTATCCCCGGTCCCCAGCACGAGGCACATTTGGCCCGCACTCCAAAGTGCCTCGATCCCCGGCGCCCTCCTCGGAGCGGGCGGTTCCGCAAAAAGACTGCCTTTCCTGTGGCCACTGGGGGTTTGGGTAGGTACCCAGCCATGTTCCTCTTGGACTTTAGTCATTCAGTGGTTTGGCTCGGCCTTGTTCTTTGCAATGATTGGGAGGGGGGTCCGCCGATACTCCAGCCTGGATGAAGTCAAGATGGCACGGAGTTGATTGTTCAGGTATCCTTTGCCCACAGATCTGTGTCAAGTCCACAGCTGAGCGGACAAGTAGCTTGTGGATTCTGCCAATGAGGTCGAACCGCTTGTTCAGCCTTGTTGCAAAGTTGGGCTTGCCATCGCAGTTTGGTTCTCATCGAGCGTGCTCGCAGCTTGCCTTGGCGCAGCCGTTGCAGTGCCAAACCGCCGAATCGCGGGCGCTTCGACAGCGATCGTCGCGCCATGTGAGGGTGACGCAGGCCCGCGCAATCGCACAGCGATGCGGCGGGTCTCGAGCTTAATGCCAGGACGTCCGAGCCAAAGCTCGAACCGTTCAAGCCACGTCTCGAACAACCTGAGCCAAGTCTCGGGCGATCCGGTGCGGCACAGCCATCGGCACAGCACCCGAAGTATGAGGTCACGCTCGCGCTCGGGGACGAGATCCAGTAGCTTTTCCCAGGCCGGGTAGGGGATTTAGGCCTACCGAAGGCAACGGAGACCGCCAGGTGGCGGTCGAAGCTGCGGGCTCCCTCACTTCTCTCCATTTTGCCCAAACTATCGCATTGTGTACCC